AGAGGTCAAATTGGGTTAACCAAAAAGTTAGAGAGAGAGAGAGAGAGAGAGAGAGAGAGAGAGAGAGAGTGGAAGAGAGTGGGAGAGAGTGAGAAAGAGAGAAGAAATGAGGCATGCAAGCTTCTTCAGACCTTTCCTAAAAGCACCTCAACATGGATGCACTAAGGGTTTAAATGTTTCCGGCAGCATTTGACAATAATTCCCTAGAGGAAGCTGAAATCAAAGAATGACAGACGCACAGCCACAGACAGTTCACATTAGAACATGAACTTGAAACCAGGGCTTTCCAATTTCAATAGAATCCTCTAATCAAAACATCTTTTTTAAAGTGTCGAGTAAAAAAAAAAAAACAACAAGCGTCAAATTGAAACACAGTGATGTTCAAAAACACCACATATTGTTTTAAAAAGTAACTTATGACAGTCCTACACTGAGTAGTTGATATGCTCTCAAAGCAAAAACCTAACCACAGACAAAATACATTGTAACAAAACACGTTTATTTATCACATAGCAAAAATATTAAGAAAAATAAAAACAATAATGATAACTATAATAATAATAATAATGATAATAATAATAATAGCAATATAATCAATTGTGAGAATCTTAGTTCAGTCTCATTTGAAAATCAATCTCGAGTTGCTTTACAGGAAAATGTGGAATATAACACCTCGGGAATACGTCTCCACTGCTCGGCATTAGTCCTAATAAATAGAGTGCTGATTTAAGGGATAACATATATCTATCTGAATGTTAGCCAATTTCCGAGAAAATCCCACGAGGTGCAGATCTTGAGGGCTCATCTTCTCCCAGAGTGTCCATGGCAAGCTGTGGAGGGAAGGAGAAGAGGGAGGGAGGGAAATGTGTGAGTAAAATATGTCACAGAACAGCAGTCACTTAGTGATGGCAAAAAGCCATACAGAGTCTCCTTGAGTTTTGGTTAGAGTAACGGAAAGTGGGTAGTTGGCAGGTGCTCTGGCGTGGTTTGCTCCTTCTTTCCTATCAAATATATACCGTCCTTATCTGTCCACCACCTTTTTACTGTCTGTTACTCTCTTGTATCACTTCTAATCTTCGGAACTTATATGACCTAAATGTGTTGGAAGTGCCTTAAAATACTTACTAAAACAAAAAAAAGGAACAGGAAATACATAGAACCACTAACTGGCTTCTGCAGTGTGGCTGTTAGGCGCCTCATCTTCCCACACAGAAGAAATGATTCAATCCCCAAGTGGGGAGAATTTTATCGAGTATCTGCAGCTGTTTGCTGGGACTGTAATCTCTTTATCAGCCTGTGTTGGTCCCTGACTCGCAGGGTTGAACCAGTCCCCTTCCTTCATGACCTAAATTAGTTTAGTTTCGGTAAGAGTTTTACAGTACTTGGTTGTTGAATGGGGAAGTTATTTTATCAGCTATTTCTTTCGTTTTAGTAAGTGTTTTACGGCACTTGCAACACAATATGGTCATATAAGTGCCAAAGATTAGAGATGTTACAAGAGAGTAACAAACATAAAAAAAAGACGGAGAGATCAGGACGACTGATTTTTTATAGGAAAGAAGGAGAAAAACCACACCAAAGCACCCGCCGACCACCCACTCATGACCTAAATTTGTCTTGATGGGGGTTTAAAACATCTACATCTACAGTACACAATGCCACACTAATGGTCATTTGGAGTTGGAGCAAAAATAAGACTGACAGAAAGAAATAACAGAGGGAAAGTGAAGAAGTCAGACCAACCTTAGGCACATTA